ATTTTTCACTTACTCCATGCACCAATTTCACCATGTATGAAACCGGTTTCATGAATATTTTTTTCTATTACTGATTTCATAGATTTATTAATCTAATAACTTACGATTTTCATGAATCTTGACAATAATAAACCAAGACACAATATAACAAAATCCAATATTTAATATTATAATTTAATTAAATATTTAAATGTTACCATTTATAAAATTTTCTTTATTATGTTACCTTAATTAAGATTTACTAATAACTTCCATATTTAATAGAAAAAAATGCAAATGACCAATATACCCTTAATGATTAAATTTAATTAGAAAAAAAATTAGAATTTTCCTATTGGTCGAAATTAGTGTACACGGTTTCTAAGAATTGCACGGTTTTCATTTGAACGTGCCTTTCTCTCTCTCTCTCTCTCTCTCTCTCTCTCTCTCTATATATATATATATATATATATTAAAAGAATAACCAAGAGGTAATTAGATACATCATGAGAATTAAGTATTAAAGTGTTGGTGGATTGTGGTTGAGTTTGAGATATCCCACTTTGATAAAAGATTGAAGATTGGAGTAAAGAGATGTGTATAAGATAAAAAAGGATGAAATATATTGTGTCAACTCAAGAGACTTAACTCATAAAGTTAACTTATTTGGATGACTCTTTTTTGCAAAACAAATCTTATTATATAAAAATAAATTGTGTTTACAATCATCAATATATATATATATATATGTATATGTATATGTGTGTATATGTATCAATCTTCTTTATATATAAAAGTAAGATCCACAAGAAATGATGTGGCACCCTAAGAATTGAGTATTTTATATTTCTAGCATAGATGTTGAGTTTTGTGTATCCTACATTGATGGAGAGATGAAAGAATGACAATTGATGGTAGGTATATGAGATGAGGTTGATGTGTCTTTATTTTAACTCATGGGGTTTGATTCTCTTGGGTAATCCTATAAACTTATATCGTTAGCTCATGTTGGCTAACCCTCTAAACTCATGGAGTTGGTTCATTTTGACCAATCCTTTGTTTGCAAAAAAGCCATCTTTATAAAAGATCTTTATATATAGGGCTCTATCTATATATAAGTAAGATTCACAAGAAATGATTTGTCACCCTAAGAATTGAGTATTATATATTTATTGCATTGAGGTTGAGTTTGTGTATCCCACATTGATAAAGAGATGAAAGATCGACAACTGGTGGTAGGTATATAAGAAGAAGTTGATGTGTCTTTATTTTAACTCACGAAGTTGGGTTATCTTAGCTAATCCTATAAACTCATATCACTGGTTCATGTTGGCTAACCCTCTAAACTCATGGGGTTGGTTCACTTTGACAAATTCTCTATTTGCAAAATAGTTGTCTATATAAAAAATCAATATATCAATACAAAAAAAGCTAGAATATAATAAGATGGCATCATTAAAACCAAATATTTTAAAATTCTAGCATTGTGGTTGGATTTTGGGTATCCACATTGATTGGAAATTGATACGTGAATGAAGAAAATGAGTATATAAGAGAAAGATGAGTTCCCTTTGAAGATTAAAAGGTTCATTTGGCTATATAAGTCATGTGTATCTTTAAATGCTTGTCTAAATTCACGTGGTTGAATCATTGTGACTGAACTTCCAAACATATGTGGTTGACTCATTTTGGGCAACCTTTTTTTGTGAAAAAATTAATCTATACTAAATATTAATTGAAGAGATAATTTTAATATGTTTTTGAAAGTAAGAAGCGGAACCGTTGATGCGACACCCTAATAATTGAATATCCTTCAATCTTGAATGGTGATTGAGTTTATATATCCCACACTGATTGAGAGTTGAAAGATTAACAAAAATGTTGGATATGTAAAACGAGGTCGAGATGCCTTTGTGACAACTCATAAGATTGGTTCCTCTTGGTTGATTCTCTTAACACATGTGGTTAGAGCATTTTGGCCGACCCTCCGAACACATGGGGTTGGTTCATTTTGGTCAACTCTCTTTTTACAAGAAGGGTTAATCAGTATTAAAAATTAATTTTATATATATAATCTTTATTCTTTCTATATTTAAAAGCAAGAATCACAACCATCAATGTGACACCCTAAGATTGAGTATTTTTTAATCTTGAATTGTGATTGAGTTGTGTCTATCCCATATTTATAGGTAGATAAATGATTTACACAAAATGATAGATATATAAAGAAAGATTGAGATGTCTATGTGGCAATTCATAGAGTTGACTTCTATTGAATGATTCTCTAAACTCATGGTGCTTAGCTTATTTGGCTGACTCTCAAGATAGGATGTTTGGCTAATCCTCTTTTTACAAAAAAAATATCTATATTAAAAGTCAAATAAATAAATTAATTAAATTAGAAATCCAAGGATTTTTAGTCATGCTCATGGAAGTATTGACTCGTTGTCTTTTCGAGACAAAAGCACTCATATGAATGGTGCTCAGAAGACAAGTGAAAAGTTTCTCGAGGTTTCGCCGTGGGAATTTCGCGAGATAAATTATATATTTGTCAAGCGAAGTGAGAAAGAAATTATTGAATAGCATCTTTAATAAAATTTATGGTACATCTGTTCTCCAAAATTCGATGTACTTCGTGCAGGACACATCTCATGTTTGCACCTCCTTAATACTAGGCAGAGGTTCGCAGTAGTTATGGGAAGCTATTCTCAACTAGCTTCAGCGGAATCTGCCAATTCTGCTTCCCAATTCTCATCACGTAGTTGGCTTAACGCAGGGCGATCGCGGGGTCACTGAATGAAGTCCTCCGTTTCTTTCGGAGGTGCATGCCGTGAAAGTTTTGGTGTTACAGAGCACAACTATAACTGTGCAATTGAAAAGATTGATAGACGTATCCGGAGCGAGCATGATGCAATCTTCTTGTATGTCGATTTAGCAACCTCTCCCGGCCCAGTAGTTCCGCAACTACTACCGTGGTTGTTGCCAATGGGGATCCCAAGCCCCCTTCTGGTAGTCTCCCTCTGTCGGTCGACGGTAGCCTTCGGATTCTTATAATAAATAAGGATCCCTATAAAGAAAGCCGCACAGAAAGAGAAGACTACTTGGAATTCGGTGGGAATCCACAAAGACAGCGTACAAAAACCACTTTTTGTCCAACCTAGTATATTTCAGATCTCGTTAATGTCATAGTTATATTCCAGATCAGCCAAATTCAATATAATGTTATAAGATATTGATGTGATAAATTAGAATTTAATATTTTAAAATCATGAATTGTGGTTGAATTTGATATGAATCTTAATCCATATTAATGAGAAAAAAAAAATTACTGAAAAACAGTTAAGTATATGAAACAAGAAGGGATGCCTTGAAATATTAGAAGAGTTACAAATGCACTATAAAAATTTAGTATTTTCAATTTTAAAATATAAAGATATTGATGTGATTCACAATTTTTTTGTATATTACTTAACATATATTATGATCACGAATACCGAACATTAATATTTTATAATAATAGTTCTCATAACTTCTTTCAGAAAATTGTCTACAATTCCATGAATCTATACAACATTTCAAACAAAAGATGTGGTCAACAGTTGTCGTTCATGGTGGATTTGATGAAACCTTCAAACCTATACAAAAAACATGGGTGTTGTGGATGTTTTCTTCAACAAGTGGGTTTTGACGGAGAAAAGAAATTTCTAAGCGTACCCTTTTTTTAGGAGAAAAGAGGGAGAACTGAAAAAAAAATTAAAAAAAAAGCAAGATTGATAGCAGAGGCAAATGATGGCGATGGACAGTATAGAGAACAAATAAAGATAGGGGAGTGAGGGGTAGTGTAGGAGTGATGTCGTTGGATATCGGGGATTTGAATGGCGTAGAGTTTGGAAACATTACATCCAATTTTGTTGTAGGACAAGTGTGATATCGACGTCTAAAGGATATGATGATCTAGATAGAAATAAACATATTAGAGATAGATTATAACTAAAAAATTTCGTAGCTATCTATTTGTATTTCATTATTATTTAAAGTGCTTTTGATTAATGAGGATTACAGATTCATCTCTCCATTCTATTGTTGTTTTATTTCAGTTATTCTATAACAAATTTAGGGTTCTTTTACATTTAAATTTTCCTAGCCGATTACAAGTAAGGTTTTTTTTTTTAGTTTCAAATGATGTAGATAACCAATTTTTAAAAGTTCAATGGTTTATTTATTCAAAAAATCTCAAAAACTTAATTGTTTAAAATGAGAAAATTCCATGTTTATTTCACTAAAGAAATATTAGAGACTTAATTATTTACAATAAAAAAAGTTCATTGAATTTTTATGGTCTTTTCTCCTAATTTTATAGGGTACTTAAATTAACAACTAGACAAACTCTTACAAAATTAGTTGAAATACATATAAACTAATTTAAATATTCATTAGAGTATCTCCAACAATTTTTCTAAAAAAATTAAAAAGATAAGTTTTTGTTCAGTAAAATACTTCAACGGTTTTTCTATCTTGTTATTTGAAATAAAGAATCATGGAACAAAACTCTAAATATAAAAAATTATCTAAAACTTGTTGGTAAGAAAAAGAAATGATTATTTTATTTAATTATACCAATGAGATGGAGTTATTATATTTTTTATACAAAGTTTTTTCAAAAAAAAGTGTAATGAAACGATTAAATTAGAGAATATGATAATAATATAATTTATGTTAAAACTATTTTTTTAAAAAAAATATTTTTTAATTTTCTAATTTTAAAAAAAATTATAAGAAAAGCCTGTAAATAAAAACAAGAACAGTTTCAACCATTTAAAAAAACCGTTATGATTTCAATAAAATAGAATTCAAGGAGAATAGCTACAAATAAGCAGTGTCATAGTTTGACTTTGGGAATTGTATGGTCCGAATGATGCCGGTAAGACGCACAAAAGAAGTGGTTTTATGGGAGCATATATGTTGTAGTCTTCTTCATCCCCCACCACCACCACCACCACCACCACCACCACTATCTATCAATGTCAAATCCTCCGCCGGAACCTCCTAATCCCACCACCGTCATCGCCATCCCCACCCCCACCCCCACCCCCACCCACTCCACTTCTCCACGTCGCTCCTTCACATTCCGCAACTGGCCTGGCGCAAAACCAATCCCACTCGCACTGTCCATATCCGTCGGAGTCATCGTCTGCTTCGCCATTCCAAGACCTTCACAGGTCTCAAGAAAAGCATGGCAGCTCTTCTCCATCTTCCTCACAACAATCGCCGGTCTCATCCTCGGTCCCTTACCCGTCGGTGCTTGGGCCTTCGTCTGCCTAACCATCTCCGTCGTCACCAAAACCCTATCATTCGCATCTGCCTTCGCCGCCTTCACCAACGAAGTCATTTGGTTGATAGTTGCCTCGTTTTTCTTCAGCCGAGGGTTTGTGAAAACCGGATTGGGTGATCGGATGGCAATGTACTTCGTGCGGTGGTTAGGGAAGAGTACCTTGGGTTTGGCCTATGGATTGGCGATTTGTGAAGCCATAATTTCCCCGGCGATGCCGAGTACCACAGCCAGGGCCGGCGGAATCTTCCTGCCGATTATAAATTCTTTGGCGATTGCTGGTGAGAGTAGACCCAAGGACGGTTCGGCTCGGAAGCTTGGTGCTTATCTTGTTCAATCTCAGCTTCAGGTAGGCGCCATTAACAACTCTTAATCTTATTCTATTCTATAAAATCATTCTTTAATATAAAACGATTCAAAATGAACTGATTAAGACTCCAATTATCTATATAGTATTTGATCATCGATTTGAAATAGGACAAGATATATAGAATCTTGTGTTTTCTGTCTGTCTCTCTCTCTATATATATAATCCACAATTCATCCAAATATTCTGAAACAAAAGTGGGTACTAATATCCATGGTTATGTTTGGCAAACTGTATATGCTCGTAGTAATCAATGAAAATAAAAAAAAGTGTTTGGTATGATATACTATAACTAATCCATTTCTTTAAGAGTCTAAATTTTCATATCAGATTAAACACTAACCTCAAGAATAACCAAAAAGTACCCCCGTTGAAAAGTTAATTGTATAAGGGATTTGGAATGGTTTGTAATAAACACACTTTTTGTCATCTTTGTTGTGGGTCCCATATACTTCCTTTTACCACATTATCTTTGCAAACCAAATAAAAAACTAATAAAATAAGATTTCATACAAAATTCAGGATAAGAAGCATATGAACTCCAAAACTCTCTACACCTATAGTGTCTTCCTTCTTGCTGACCATCGTAGATGCCTTAACAGATAAGCTGGCTCTCAATGTAAAATTATCTAAAAAAATAGAGTTCTTGATTATTTATGTGAAATACATACATGACTTCAATTCGCATATGCTTTCATCATTGTTGGATTATGTTTGAAACCATAGTTGTCACTAAATTCAAGATAAAAACTCCATCACCTAATAAATGACTGTCAATGATCATATTGACATCTTCTTCCATCGTAAAATAATAATATTGAACATCTTTTTTTATTGTTTTAGACAAGAAATCAACTTGTACTTTTCTATATCCAAAGACTCGAACTCATGGACCAAATTTACTCAATGGATACATATGAATATACCCAAAACGATACTAGGACCATATATATGCCAATTCAAGCATCCAAAAGCCAGTAGTTGAACAACTGTGGTTGGTCTTGTTTTGGGCTGCGATTATTGAGCGTTAACTATGGATTTTCGCATTAAACTTCATAGGTTTTTATGTTGTTTGTTCATAATAGTGAGATTTGCCATAGGGATTTTTGGATGTTAACCAATATTACCAGGTATAGTGATAGGCCTCTTTTACATTAAACTACACTTTTTGGTCCCTATGGTCCATGCGGTTTGTTTATTGCATTGGCAGACACTATGGGTTACAAATCCTTACGAATTTGGTTCCTAATGCAGATGTTGTCCAGGCTGTTAAGTGTTTGTCACGCTAAGGATATTTCAGTCATTTCAGTAATCATTATATAAGCCTTTCATCTTTTTTAGAAATACTATATATATATATATATATATATATATATATATATATATATATAGCAAAACACATGCACGACATCCTCTGTTCCTCCACTGCAGCTTCATCTTCCTCATTTTAGTAATCATTATATAAGCCTTTCATCTTTTTTGGAAATCATATATCTATATATATACATATAGCATAGGACATGCACGACATTCCGTCTCTCTCCCCTGCACCTTCATCTTTGTCTTCCTCTTTTTCACAACAAATACGCCTCCATTCCGACCTCCCCCACCCGCACTTTACCATCACTTTCCCCCCGCAGAACCCACCACCTATGGTTGAACATAAACCTCATCAATATTCTTGGAAGCCATTGATGCATGCAGAAGGGATTTCGAAGAAAAAATTAAGAATTTATCCTTGAAATCGTGGATACGAGGTTAAGAAGGGAGTTCGATGTAGCTTGCACTAGGGGGATTGAGCAACAAAATTACAACCCCTAAAATCACCATCATATATTTTGTTCTTCTCACTGACACCACAACCATCCTCCTCCGCTGCTTCTTGCTTTCCTCCCTCGAATGGCTCAAATGGCTTACAGGTTACTGGATCAAAGATCTCCATGGAACTTGATTTCTTTCTGGGCTACTGGTCTAGAGTGTGGTCATTGATCCAAGAACTCAGTTAGGATCAATGGAGGTTTGCAGATCGACATAATCATAAGGGATTGTTTGGATTTAAACCTTATGATGCCTTTCCAAAGAATTTGTTTGATTTCGATGTAGAGTTTTTGTTTGTTTGTTTGACTTAGATTTTGGGTATTTGCTTGTTTGAACATGAGTTATTGTGCAAAGATTTAGCAATAATGAATTCACTTTTGTCTTAATTTGTATGTATAACTGGCATGACGAACAAGAACAAGAAGGTGTCGGTATGGTTGCCTAAACAACAAAGTACTGGAAAGGGGAGGGAGGGGCAGGGAAGGGAAGGGATGAGCTGTCATTAGCTGAATTAAAAAAAACCATAAATAATTATTATTAAAATGACCAAACCTCACATGACAGACACTTAACGGTCCTTCATGGACTGTGTTAGTACTGGGGACCAAATCCTAAGGACTTGCAAACTACAATAACTGCCAATGTAATAAACAAACTGCATGCACCAAATCTATAATTCTAACAAATCAGAGGGACCAAAACTGTAGTTTACTCGCTTCTTTTTAATAGTGTACCCAAAACATATTTTTGGTGGACATGTTCTATAATATTCGCATCTTATCTTGCATTGAAATAAATTTTTTCCTAAGAATTCCGCAATACCTACATCACATGAAACCACAAACAGGATCCCGAGACTAGTTTAGACTCTAGACCATCTATGCTTGCTAGGCCTATATGGGGCCCAATATACACGTTCTGAGCCCAGTTATACTTATAACCATGATCGAGCCCACTTTGATGAAGATCAGACCCGATTAGGCTCGATCCAGGTTAAACCCAAAAAAAGGCCCCATATACATTCCATTATGCATAATCTGTACGTTTTGACTTTTGGCAGTCGCAAAGCAATAGTCAACACAGAGCTACAGGGGAGTTGTTGCAAGAGTATGTTCTAGCTTAAACAAGCATGAACAACTTCTAATGCACAATGCCTTGCTCATTATATTGTATTTGCGGATATAAGGGTTTACATCTTTCAAACTACATGGGCATGTGAAAAGTCAACTTCTTGTGGATGGAATTTGTACTATCAGCAATTTGGAGTTGTGGATTGGATGGGTAATTGGGGTTTATTAGCACACAATGTAACTAATTAAATTTGTTTGAAATATATTGAATTTAATTAGCACAAAATACATTGGAATTAAATAGTTTTAAAACCCAAAACTTATGGTGGTGATTAGGAAGATTATGCCGGTTCGGGTTAACCATGTCCGGATCTTGGTCGTTGGGACAAAGTGTAACTGGGATCAGACTATAATTTTTGTTTTCATTTCATAACACAATTGGTTAATTCTTGCTAAATCAAACCAAACATGCTCGGTAAATCCCACTCGGAGGTTGGGGTCCTAGGGGTGGATGTATGCACACCTAACCCCAACAAGGTCCTTTGATTTAAATGACCTTAAATGAGTTTTCAATTAAGACCATGTTACCTTATTAATTATTTTCAACTCCATGACCTTCATCTGACCTACCCCGGTGTTAAACAACCGGTGTAAAACAAAAACTTGAAAATACATTGGAGAATTAGATTCTTAAAGTCAATTTTGTGGAAGGTCAATGAGCTAAATAGCCCACGCCCTACTAGGGAGTAAAGCAGTTGTTTCTAGGAAAACAAATATCACAGGTTATCCTTGCTAATGGGGATACTTTGCAATTGTGATGATCCACTTGAAAAATCTGCGGTAGGCCTGCCATTGATCGAAACATTGGTTCATTTGAGCTGCATTATTGTTCAAGTGATCTATTATCAGAAGTTGTAACATTTGATGTGTTTGTTATGTGACAGTCATCTAGTAGCTCGAGCGCTCTTTTCTTGACTGCTGCAGCTCAGAACATGTTATGTATCAAGTTAGCCGATAGTTTAGGGGTTACAATCAAAGACCCATGGATCACATGGTTCAAAGCTTCATGTTTCCCAGCACTGGTTTCTCTTATGTTAACTCCACTCATCGTTTACAAGATCTTTCCTCCTGAGACCAAGCACACTCCCGATGCTCCTATCTTGGCTAAAACTAAGCTGGAAGAGATGGGTCCTGTCACAAGTAACGAGTGGATCATGTTAGGAACCATGCTTGTTACAGTTGCATTATGGATCTCCGGGTAAATTAACTACGATTTAACAAAATTATTGTTCTCAATATCATTCCCATTTTTGAGAAGATGTGGGACCTATTAGATTAGACGACCCTCCAAAAGAGCCGTTTAGGAGAGAAAGAGAATTCCAACATATATTGAAGGTAAAGTGTCCAAGTCTAGCCTATGTGGAACTCTTAAGGCCTTAACACACCCCCTCAAAGAGAGGCTAAACGGGGAAACATGTCCCAGAGTGTCGAGTCCGGGCAAAGACATCCCAAATCATATACCATGTGAGAATTTGTGGAACCCATTCTACAAGGAAAGAAAGGGGTTTCTAACATATATTGAACAGAAAGTCTACAAGTCTAGCCGCTCTAACAACCCCCTCCAATAGAGGCTAGACAGGCAAAGATGTCCCAGAGTGTCGAGTCCTGAGCAAAGATGTTCCAGATGGTAGATCCTGACTCCATACCATGTGAGAATATATAGAACCCTATTCAATTACTCTCCAAAAGAGTCTTTTAGAAGAGAAAGGGGGTTCCAACATACATTGAAGAGAAAGTGTACAAGTCTAACTTATGTGGAACTCTCACACCGTTAACAATTATCGTCTTTCTTTATTGTAGTATCATCCAGTTTGAAGTCGGAACATTAGTCTGTTAACCTTTCTTATACTTCTTTCTGTTCAATTTACTTCACTTGTTGGGTTTGCTTAAAAAAGTTATAGTCACAGTGGTACGGCCAATATGTGGGTTATTTAGCTCGCTGATCTTCTACAAAACTAACTTTTAAGAATCTAACCCTCAGTATTGTCAAGTTTTTAAGGGGCAGACTGTTTTACACTAGAATCAAGTTAGATGGAGGTTATCGAGTTCATTTTTTAGGTCATGTTCCTAATTGAAAACTCATTTAACCAAAAGGGGTCATTTGAATAAATGAACATAAATGAGTTTTCAATCAGGAACATTACCTTCTTAACTTTTTTTTAACTCAAATGACCTTCATTTGATTTGCTCACTGTTCAAAACACATTGCTCCCATAAAAGCTTAGAAACACACTAGGGGTTAGGTTCTTCATTAAGTTTTTGAGAATTTTATTTAACTAAATAGCCCACGATTTCTACATGTTGATATAATGATGAAATATGGATTAAATGTGGATAAATTTTGGTCTCATTGCAAATAAGTTTCAGATTGCTAGGATATAGTAGCCGATTACAACCAATACAACCCTTGTCTAAACGGTCCATTTTATTTTATTTTTTCAGTTTTTTTAATTGATGATTTGTAACTACCTTTTTCACCTCATCAAATGTTGACTGTAGATGAACTAATTGATGGTTAAGATGAGGTTGCATTGATAAATAAACCACCTCTCTCTCTCTCTCTCTATATATATATATATATATATATATACATAGGGCTGGGTTCAGAGGAAAACCACAAAAAAATGGAAAAATAAGGAATACCCTAATAATCATTCATTTGTCCGCTATACACATGTGCATAGAAACCAGGAAACATGTTCAATTACTTTTATGTACATGTGCATATAGGACAAATGAATGGTTATTAGGGTGTTCCTCAGTTTCCAATTTTTGTTCTTTTCCTCATAACCTTGTCCGTCTATATCTCTATTTATATATCTGTCTTGGACACTTTGTCTTTGATATATATGTTGGAATCATCTTCTCTTTTTAAGGGCTCTCTTGGAGAGTTATCTGGTTCTACATACTTTCACATGGTATTAGAATCAAGGTCTATTATCTGGGACATCTTTGCTTGAGACTCAATGCTCTTTAGTCGTTATTTGCTTTCTATTTCTTGCATTTCACATAATTACGACTTCTTTTACAAAGTTCTTTCAAGTAATGACAATTAACGTTTCTTGAATCTCATTAGACCTTAACGTGTGCGTGCAGAGAGAGTCTCAACATTTCAAGTGTAGTTGCAGCCATGCTTGGTTTATCGATCCTGTTGATACTAGGCGTGCTAACTTGGGACGATTGCTTAAGTGAAAAATCAGCATGGGACACCTTAGCTTGGTTTGGGGTGCTCATAGGCATGGCAACTCAACTCACGGTTCTAGGCGTAGTTCCATGGATATCAACTTGTGTGGCCAACTTTCTCAAATCTCTTTCAGTCGGATGGCAGCTCGCTTTACTTCTGCTTCAAGCCGTTTATTTCTTCATTCATTATCTATTTGCGGGCCAAACAGCTCATGTTGGAGCTTTATATTCCGCTTTCCTTTCGATGCACCTAACATCTAAGGTGCCCGGATCGCTTTCTGCTTTGGCTTTGGCATACAATACAAATCTTTTTGGTGCACTCACACATTACAGTAGTGGTCAAGCTGCTGTTTATTATGGAGGTATCTTTTTCTGCTCCTAAATGTAACAAAGTTTGATTTAGTTCCTATTTAATGCAACAAACTTGAGTGTTAGCTCAACTGGCAAATAAATGCTAGGTCTAGGTGGCTAGTACGAGTCTCCTCAGTGCCAGGGCCACTGGAGATTTCCTCGTTATCTTCCGGGCCTGATGGAATTAGTCGAGGTGCATGCAAGTTGGCCGGACGCCCATAGTTAACGGAAAAAAGTTCTTTTTCTCAATCAATGTAATGATGTTTCAAAATTTTCTATTTTGTACCCGTTTTCACTAGTAATCTGTTAATTTTGTAAACATTTGATGATGTAGATACCTCTGCTTATAAAATGTTACAAGATTAACAAGTTACCGGTCAAAATGGATACGAAATAGAAAAGTTTAAAATTATGTTAGTTAATAAGAAAATTTGAAACTTTGTTATAATAATTGAGAAAAAAATCGTTACACTAAATAGGAACTCTAGAAAATTTTGTTGCATTTTGATGTATTTTCTCATTTTACAATCAGTATAATGAAATAATCACATCCCAATGGCTTTTATGTTCCTTTGCAGCTGGTTATGTAAGACTCCCGGATGTCTTTAAGCTCGGGATCGTGATGGCGATCATTAACACAACTATATGGGGAGTAATCGGAGCTTCATGGTGGAAGATTTTGGGGCTTTATTGAGTAAGAGTTGGAGAATTCCTTAGATTCAAGTGCTATATGCATTTCCTAAAAATAAAAAATGCTTATAGTACTCGAATCTAACTACATTATTAATTCATACTTTCCCTTTCTTTTTTTTTCTTTTTTTGCATCTTGTTTTGTATAGTTGCAATGATATAAATATAATCATATATAGATACTATTGAGTGTTTTGGTTGAATGGCATGATGCATCTACATGTGGTGATACCCTTTGACTTCTATGGTCAAACAGACTACTTTCTACTTCCAAATGACAAGAATAGGACTAGAAAAACATAATCACACCATGTGAAATTTATACTATATCATCTAATATACAAAATATCTGGTCTGTGTTTGTTACATAATCCAGAATTGTAAACAGAAGTGTAGTAGGTGAGGTTTTGTAGTGGTAATTGTTTGATTCCTAAGTGGGGGGTTTGCTCTTCTTTTGGAGAGGTTTTTGATGTAAAACCCCTTTTTTTTCCAAAATGTACAATTTGTTGAGGGTAAAGTACAAGTAATTATTGCATAAGTTATTGATTTTTGGTGTAGCTTTTTGAGGCATAATCCATCTCCACTAGTCTAGTTCCAATATCTTGCCTTTCTTTTCTTGTTTTTTTTTTTTATGTTACCCTTGTAGATATTCATTTCATGCATCCAGGGGCAAAAAAGTCAATTCCGTTTTCAACCATTCAATTTTCTTTCATCAGTCGCTATATTTTGTAAATGGTCTTAATTGCAAGATTTTCTTTCTGGTTCTTGAATGTAAAATGACTGAATCACACTTTTATATATCTATATATATATTTATAATCAAAATTATATATATATATATATATAATATAAAATGAAGAATTTTGATGTTGGTGTAAATGAAGAAAAGGGTAGCTCCCCTTTCCATCATTAAGATTCCCCTCTCTTTCTTTTTCTTTAATCAGCACTGAGAAAACACAAAAGCAATCCAAAGGCAAGGAAAGGATGGTCTACTCTACTCTACAATACCCCACTCACCTAAATCAATTCTTGCTTTTAATAGTGCTGCTAGATTCTATCCCCCTTCACCCTACCGATACATACAAAACCATGTTTCTTTTTATTTCACATTTTCTTTTTTCTTTTTAATATCTTCTCTTTTATAACCATACCCATAAGCTGGCTTATTTGATAAGCTGCAAAGCTTTTTAAGTTATTTTATAAATTAGTTTTTATCAAATGTCACTAGTTTATCAGCTAACAAATACTATATTAACCAACATGTTTTTCAGAGGATGGAATAATTACACATATGGGGTCTTGTTGAGATGATGATTATAACATACATCAAAAAGTTGAAACCTATAATTATAAAGCAAAATAGCATCCTATAATCTTGGTTTGCAATGATGGGCATTTGTTCTACAAAAGAAATGGTCATAAAATTGTACTTAATATATATAACCATTATGAATTGTATGATGTGTGAATTCTTAGTTATTGGTTTTGAAAATGTCAATGTGTCCTTCTCTTTTTGGAAAAGTCTATTGGCCCTACAACCATCTCACACACTCATGTTATAGTCTTGTTTGCTTCTATAAAAAAAAGGACAAAAATTTATGTACAAATATTGGAACCAAGTTTGCTTTTTTTATTTTGTATTTAGTGTAAAGATATTTTTTTGATATGTAACAAATGTTAAATTCTGTTCTTTTTAGTCATTTTGATTGCTAACTAATACATCTTATAACTATTGACTATTTATTAACGTGACAAGTTATATTGTAATTCGTAATTATATAGAAAATTGCCATATCAGTAGAAATCGAAAGCTTGAAAATTTGTGTATCAGATATAATGTGTATGAAACATGAAGACTTGAATGATTGTTAGATAGGTCGTATGGGGATTTGCCGCGATTCATTGTCGTGCTTATAGAAAGCTATTGAGAAAGCCAACCATTATATCCAGATCTTTATTATGAATATCTTAGATCGAACATCACAAGCCTTATCACCAGAATTCATGTCCTGCTTCATATAGTCTAACAAGCTTTCTTTCTTACTAGCCAGATTTGACTGGTTCAATTTATCATGTTCGATAGAACCTTTCGCGCCAAGAACTGGGCATAGATTCTTAGCTAGGTCGTTAAGCTTTCYTGGGAGTAGATTCAAGGAATCCCTGAGGCACGAATTGAGAACAGAAAGTAGGTCGGACTTCATTGCATTTTGATTCATTTTGCCCTATGGTAACAATAATGTAAAACATCTAACCTTTTGAATTTATTTAAATGGTTACATTTTATGAAATCTGAAGAAGTAACATCAAGTAAAACCAAACACACATGGCCACAATCCATCTCAAACCGAACATTCTATTAATCAACAAACAATAAAATGTATATGGTAAGCTTTATGTTGTTGGGAAACAAACACGTTCATCGAAGATTTAGTAGGAAAACGATGAATCACTGTGTTTTTAAATAGGCACAAGATCGATTTAGGTAGACGGTTATTTCATGATCATGACATTTGGTTTGTAACAAAACAATTATGAATTTGAAAACTCCAAAATGTATGTACTGATTAAATGGAACAAAAACCGAAATCATCTTTTATGCAGAGTAAAACCAAAAGTTGATATATGCGTGAAATTCTTTTTACACTTCAGAGAAATAAATTATTATTTTAATATATTAAACATAAAAAAAAAAAAGTGCTTTGATCTCTTCCAACATGCTTTTAAGTTGAGGTGTTGGTGTGGAAAACGAGCCCACTCTTTTGGTTAATTTAAATGCCTAAAGATCATGTAAAAGAATAGGATTTATATGAATTTTGTATATTAAATCATTAAAAAAAAAGAAAAAAAAGGGTACATTTTAGGAGTTGTACTTGTACTATATTTAATGGATCCAATCTTGTGAGAAAGACAGAGGAAATTCGTGTTATTAAGATCACATGATTTTTGATCTAAACTACTAAATATTTTGTCAGTGTCTTTTATATGATTGTAATTTGTTAAATTTATAAAAGAAAATAGTTTATGTATATGAAAATACTGAATCTCATTAGGAAATAATAAATATGAAAATAATGATTCTCACGGTTTTTAGCTTTTTTGTAGCTCTAATTTAATTAATCATATGTATAGAGAGAGAGTGTTTGGTGTATGTGAGAATAAAAGTTATAATGAGAAAATTAAGAAGCGATATCCTCTTGGATCAATCCTAATTGAATATCAACACTAATGCAATGTACCGAGATGCACCAGATCAATTCCAGTGATAAACGCAATTCGCATGATGGAGTGAGATTAAAAGTATTCAATGATTCAGATTCTTTTTTACACTTCTCACATTAACTTCTATTCTCACATGACTATTCGTGTCTCTCTCTCTCTCTCTCTCTCTATATATATATATATATATATATATACAAAAAAATGGAATTAATTCCAAACTTAAATCACTTTTATTTGACCTTTTATTTATTTTTTTTAATTAAAAACTTTTACCATCTTAATTTTTAAATCAAAATATTTTAGAAATAACTAATAGTTAATCATAAAAATTACATAAAAAATGAGTATTTTGTTCTTTTCAATTTGACATCCATCTCAATATAGTTTTTTTTAACCGTTTTTATGTGAAATGGTATATCTATGTAATATTCATTATAAATATTTATGCACGTCACATGTATATAACAAGTCTATTCATCATAAATATACAACTCACTATAACATTCATAATGAATAATTATGTATTTTTTACGTGTATTCAACAAATCTTCAATATTCATATATCACTATGACATTTATCAATAATAAACATTTTCACTATAACATTCATCATGAATATTCATGTATGTTCACATATATAGAACAACTCTTCAATATTCATACTTTAGTATGATTTTCATTATGAATATACGTTTTCATTATAACACACACACACACACACATATATATATATATATATATATATATATAAGTTCATGTATATACAATAACTCTTCAGTATTCATACGTTCATATACATTTTCACTATAACATTCATCATATATATATATATATATATATATTCATGGGGCTCATTCAAGGAAGAATTGATTAGTTTGTGGTAACCGTGAGATCCAATGTGAACTACTCGTTTGAGATATTTAAGGATATTTCTTAAATAAGCAAAAAAGGATAATATAGTAATTCTATTTTTGACAACTAATCAAATTATTTAATTAAACTTTTTAGGATGAAATATTTAATCAAAATTAGTTACCTAGCATATCAACTACCTAATATACATCGTATTTTAAAGACGTTTGTGAATCATAATGTATCATAGTGATAACGTTTACAATGTCTCATGTGTATCACAATGTATTTTCTTTGTTTTATGAAATGTATCATAGTGTGAATTTTCGTCATTTTCATTATCTTACAAAGTGTATCACATTATACATCTTGTATGTATATCTAGGTATCACATTGAATATCGTTTGTAGGTATCACAGTGTGTGTCTTGTGTTCACATAAAGTTCATCAGAATAAGATTCAACGAAAAAAGTTCGCCGAATAAGATTCGTCGGAGAGATGAAAGAGGAGAGATGAAAGAAGATATTTATAAAATCCCTAAAATGCCCTTAATTAATATTTTAAGTTAAAATTACCAAAATTACTAATTTCCTAATTTAACCATTAATTTATGGTTGAGTTTGGATCTTACAGTTACCACAAACAAAATAATTCTTATTTGATTAGTCCCCTATATTATGCATACACACACACATATGCACACACACACGTAAGTTCATGTGTATACAATAACTCTTCAGTGTTCATACATTAATATACATTTTCACTATAACATTCATGATGAATATATATATATATATACATTCATGATATATATATATATATATATATTCATCATGAATGTTATCATATGTTCATGTGTATACAACAACTTTTAGATATTCATAGATCAGTATGATATTCATCATGAATATAGATTTTCACTATAACATTCATCATGATTATAGATTTTATTCATCATGAATATGCATATTATTCATCATGAATATTTATGTATGATTACATGTGTATGAAAAACTCTCTAGTATTCATATTAGTATTGATATTTATCATAAATATAAATTTTCATCATAATATTCATCATGAATAGACTACAGTTTCAACTCTATATACTCTCGTTTA